AATTATTCTCTGATTCAATAAATGTCATTTTATATAATTTCCAGAAAACAGTATTTTTGTTATGTTTGTATGGTGACACCAACTGGGGTCATTTTGATCCCAATATTTTTGTTTATCTCTCAAAATAAAATGAGTCGATTTGACCGTAACAACAAATAGCTCTCAAATGGATATTTTGCAGATGAACTATGAACTATGTTTCAGGGCACAACTCGGCACAGAGTACAAAAGGAAATTTATGATGTTCTACATCTGCCTCCTTTAAAATGACTAACAGAGTGGCAAATAATGCTTGCCTACCCAGCAGAAAGTAAATGATACTTTTAAAAAAGTCCCTAAGGTAAAACACAGAGTCAACTTCCATCTGTTATCAAAAAAATGTTTTGTTGACCCATCCACTGACCCGAACCTCATCTCTGAGGTTGCTCCACTAAAAGGCTTTGTTAATCGAAGGAAACAAAACATTGTTTAAAATCTATTAGGCACAGAGGTATTTAAACTAAATGTCTGACTGACTAAAACAGCAGGTTATTGTCATGTCTGTGTGTAGGCAGGCAGGAAGAGAGGACCCAAAACGCAGGACTCACGGAGGCGGAAGTAACTCAAAGCACACAGCTTTATTGCAGGTATGAAACTGAACAGGAAAAACACTAACTAAACTGGGTGAACAGAATAACTAGACAGGTTGGCAGGCTGGCAAATGGAACACACAGAGGAAGCGAGGGTGAACAGACGTTAACGACGCAACACTGACACAAAGACACACTGGGCTTAAATACACTGAGGGAGTCATCAAGGAATTAGAGACAGAAGGGGAACACAGCTGGGAGAAATAAGACCTAACGAGACAGGGAGAGCAAAGCCGGAACACTGACATCAGACAGGAACAAGAACCTTCAAAGTAAAACAGGAAACAAAACACACTTTACTAAGACACGGACTAGACAGAGAGAGACAGACTTGACACTGACCAAAGCCTACTAAATAATAATCGTAATCAAAACAGTATCAGTGATTAATCAAATTATAAATCATAATCTAGAAAAACACCAAAGCATGGAAAACAGAAAGTTGGGTCAACATGACCCAGAACCGTGACAGTTATATTTTAATTTTAACCACCAGCATGCTAACAATTGCTAGAAAGCAATGAATAAACAATGAACGTCAGTAGATATGGGTTTGGGGGTTTGTTTTTGTTTGTTTTTTGATAATGCCAATAGAGAAAAAGTTAAAGGATCACAAGTTTGTACAATTTACAATCAACTGATTGACTGTGACATCCCCATGGCTAGCGTAACTAAAAACAGACTAGCTTCCTCAGATAGCATGCTTCATTTTCATTTTTAGCACTTTACTATTTGTTTTTCCACTGTATGAAAAGCCAAAGTAATTCAAAATATAAAAGTGTGTTGAGCTGCATTTGGTTTATCTCCTTTGGCAAAATGTTATTTTTACAAAGGCGTATTATGTTAGCTCCTCTTATCTGGGGACACTTGTCTGGTGTCAAGTGTCACATAAGGAGGGGTGAATCAGCTATGTTGAGGGAAATAAAAGGTTGGAGGGGTCTTGTTTACCTGTGCTCTCCACAAGCAGCATTAGGTGCAGTCTGCTTTCAGTGGCAGGTAATGAAGGTCTGGGTGAGTATTGCTCAGTGTTTGCTTGGTTTACATAAAGCTGTCCTTTCTGTCACTGCCGCTCTGGGCTATTTTTGATACAAGTGGAAGTGATCTGATAAAAATATAAGGTTTTGTGTAATATAAGAAAGTCTTTTAGAAGCGATGAACAAAACCTTATTTTTTTACTTTTTTGTAATTAAGCATATTTAATCATCTAAAAAGCTAAAAAGGCACCCTCTCATTTGCTTGCGCTCACTTTTCATGAACTCCATTTTTTCCCCCAGACGGTTCTGCAGCTCTGGTGAGAGTCATCTCAGAGAAACTGCAAAAAAGAGACAACATGATCCAATTTAAACGATCTTCCTCGGACAATCAGGCACAATCAGAGATTGTGTCGAGTGGGAAGAAATTGGTTCATTTCAGGCTGTTGAATTTTCGTCTATGTGATTTCACAGACAGTAGTGAAGAAAATCAACTTCACTTCATAAAACTGCAAAAGCTAACTCTCTAAAAGACCCGGAACATTGAGCTAAAGCTTTGAATGTTCACATGGTCGAATTGAGACATTTAGTTTTTTTTTTAAGTCAATTTAGTCGATCAATTTAAATTTAAAATCTTACATATTTGTTTTGAACGGTTCAATACTCCCTTCTAAACAAACTCCTGAATTTCTATATATAAACTCAGTAGTCACATCTATGAGTTTCTGTGATGCAACAACTTACAATTATTGATAATTAGTGACAAAGCAGGGTGTAGGCACAACAAACAGCTTCATTTCTAAATGCCTTTTTAGCCTTGCAGCTCAGGTGTTGTAAAAAATTGTCCAAAGATATCATTGTTCAGGGAGTCTTTCCACTCCTGTCAAGCTGATATAGTATGCTGAACTGGGCACCTAATATCCACCTTTCATCTTTCATCTTATTGCAATAAGGCTGGGGATGCACAAAATGACTTTTGGGTCAATTTGCACAAGATTTGCCTACCTTGCAAATTTATAAGGAGAAACAGTGCAGTTTGATTGAAACCAATGATCTGCAAATAGGATCCTAATATCTTACTTTACAGATCTAATCTTAACCGCCCCAAATGGCTTTTACCCGCTAATATCTAACGTTTTATATGTTTAAGCCAACATCTGCATAAGTGCTGTGCTGCGTTGGAGAGACTCCTGACAGCCCGCAAGAGCTCAGTTCATAATGAAGTGAGGTAGTGCGAGCTGAGTGTGACTGGCTCTATTGTTATTTTGATTGGAATTACTGGATCATGAGATTGCAGGGCCTGATGTGAAAGGACATATCAGGAGTCAGCGGGATTATCTTTTGTTATTAAGTTTGCAATGTGAGCATATTTACAGCTGACATAAGAAATAGTCAGCAAAATATTCAGTGTGTGAGTTAAATTTCTGCTAATGTGTTCCTGGTCTAAAATGACGCTGTTTTGTTGTGATTCTGCAGTTGCTTATTGGCTGATGCTTTTTCAGTTACATAACAAACTCATTATTATCTCATCTGTTGTTGTTTTTTACTTATTTTGTTTCTCCGCAGAGATTGAAAAGTACGAAGGGGATGAATTAAGAAAAGATGGTGACACCAAGAAATACCTAGACATTATCAGCAATAAAAACATCAAGCTCTCCGAAAGAGTTCTCATTCCTGTCCAACAGTATCCAAAGGTAAGAGACATAACAGCTCTACAGGGTCCTACATTTTATTTTTTATTTTTTTCGGAAATATGCAAGTGATCCGAACAATTAAACTGTGATGGAAGTGCAAGAAGAACAGAGTATGTGTTATATTTTTTCAGTCATTTTAGCAGCATTTTAGTCTCCCCTCCAGGTCGGCTTCACCTGTTCACAACTCCTACTTCTACACTAAAATCCCCATGAGCCTCAAACTGGCTATTAGAAAGTCACCGGATGCTGTCTGTTTATTTTGATGTAGTCACCAAAAACCAAAGTTTTCAGCAGACTAAAGCACCCAAGGGTACAGTGAGGAACAGTAACCATAAATCACTCCATGACACTGCTCTGTGTCTGAGTTATGCAACGTCAGTACTGACAAAGTCTGAAACGTGGTCTAATGAGGCTGCTCCGTCAGGCAGCTAAGCAACACACAGCTGCTTGAGGAGCAGCAAAAGGCTGTACTGCCACTGCAGTCATGGAAAGCTCCACTGCCCTTGAGTTCAGACATTCATGAAAAAGCCTTTAATACACTTCATACTCACGCTGTACTTTCCTGTCTTTTTTTTCCTTGTCATAACATCTCTGTGTCTAGCTGACATTAAGATGTTGTATTATGTGTATAATAATATGTATTATTATATGTTTTATTTAATTTAGAGAAATGTGATTTTTGTTAAGCACACTTGTTTAACTTTTCTGTAACACATATCTAACTAGCCAATCGGATGGCAGCTGTTCAGTGCATTTAGATTTGTAGACACGGTCAAGACGACCTGCTCAAGTTCATTCTCAGCACCAGAATGTAGAAGAAAGGTGATTTAAGTGATTTTGGAGGTGGCATGGCTGTTTGTGCTAGACGGCTGGGGCCAGTATTTCATAAACTGCTGATCTGCTGGGATTTTCACCACACAGCCATCTCTAGGGTTTACGGAGAATGATCAGAAAAGTCAGAGGAAGTTTTCTGTGTGAAAATATCGTGTTGAAGTCAGAGGAGAATGGCCAGACTGCTTTGAGATAGGAAAGCAGTAACAGTATCACGTGTAACCTTGAATCAGATGGGCTACAGCAGCAGAAGACCACACTGGGTTACACTCTTTTCAGCTAAAAACAGGAAACCAAGGCTACTGTTCTCACAGACTGACCAAAATTGACAACAGAAGATTGGAAAAATGTTGCCTGGTCTGATGAGTCTTGATTTCTGCTACAGCATTTGGACAGTAGGGTCAGAATTTGGCATAAGCAAGATGAAAGCATGGCTCCATCCTGCCTTGCATCAATAGATCAGGCTGGTGGTGGCAGTGTAATTGTGTAGGGAATATTTTCTTGGCACACTTCGTTCCCCTCAGTACCAACTGAACATCATTTAAATTACCACAGCCTACCTGTGTATCCCTTTTTAGCCACAGTGTACCTATCCTCTGATGGTTCCTTCCACTTTTACCACTAAGCTACATTGATAAAGAAAAATGGATATACAATTTATAGCCTAGTTTACCTCATCAAAATGAGATTTTAGAACACAGTCTTCCTGTTTCATTCCTCTAACCACCCTCTTGAAAAGGTCAGCACTACCATATTTTTACATATCAACATACCTGCTCACATCTTCCATAATGTTTAAAAGTAAGTTTGTTTCTCCTGACAGGAAATGTGTGCCTTTCTTTTGGTCTAGTTTGTGCACAGAAGAGAAAAGACTGCGTGTCACTACTTAACTGAGGCACATATTGGAACACATCCTACTCCCAGTACCTGAAAAATACTAGTCCTACATTGAAAACCACCTCCTTCTGAATACCCAAATGGTTTTCACCACGTTCAGTATCTTGCCAAAAATAGTGGAAGATTAGTGCATTTTAACTTAGCCAATGAGACAAATTGTTAAGAAGTCTTTTTGTAAAAAACTCTAAATTCAGATACTTTCTTTGACGTATTTTTTCATTATCCCAGAGACAAAATCATATAGTTATTCCTTCTACTTTGATATATTTCAGTTTTTGTACATTCAAGACTTCATCGTACAGTGTTACACGACTAGAAAATAGATGGTGCTGGGAGGAGAGGGAAATCTGAAAACTGTCCTGAGCACAGGCAATGCTTTAGTCCAAGGAGCCCCACAGGACTCTACATACAAATCAATTTGCTGTTTCCTCCTCAGGTCAGCATTAAGCAACTAATTAAGCTTTGTTCAGGACCTCTTCACTTAAATTGATTTAAACACTATGAAAAATAGTGACTGAATTGGCTTCTTGGGGGGAAAAAAGACAAAGAAATGTGTTTTTGTGCTTCTTTTTCCCCCACATCTGTTATCCAAATATAAGATGTCTTATTGGTCAAAATTGCATCCTCACTGCAAATGTTAAAATATCGTTTCACTTAGAGCACACAAACTGCTTTTAATATATTATATTTAGTGTATATTAAGCTTTTGGGTGGGTGTGAAGAGCACTGACACACACTACAGGCATCCATCAGTTCAGCTGGTGGGTTTTCTTATAACGCCAGACATATGGATTGTGCGGAAGCATCGATTTTCTTCTTGAAAACGTAAAAATTGGAGGTAAAATTAAATTTCTGTAGATAGCGCATGTTCTGCTTTATATCCTACCTGCTGATTAATTGCATTCACTTTGAGTCCCACGTGTGAGTCTGCTCCTGATTAGATGGTTAATGAAAATCAGTGGAGCTTGCAGTTAAGAAAACCCGAGAAGCACGGAGGTACATAACAAATACATTTAAAGTGTTTTCATCATTTTAAACATGAAATTCACAGGTGCAATAGAGAAGCTCAAGTTTGCCAATGCTGCACAGTAAGCAAAGCTGCAGTCCAGAGGGACAAAACAGTTGTCCAACAACAGCTTCTGTGACCTGATTGCACAGTCAGCACCCCGCAAGACTGCAGTCTCACTATCTTAAACATCTTGGTAACACTGCACTTTCATTTAATGATAATTTGGCATATTAAGCAACTCTCTGATCAAGTGCATGGCCTGCAAAGTGAATGAGCCAAACTAAAAAGAAAGCAGAGCAAAACTTGGAGCCATGAGGTAAATTGGGCACAATATCCAGAACTTTTAGGGGGGGGGACCTAGTTAAATGAATGTTTTTGCATCAGTGTCACACAGATCTGAATGTTGGTCCTCAGTTCACTGATCGATATTTGATTTTGTACTTTCACAACATCTGGCCCTGCCAAGATGCACAAACTAATTGGTTTAATTACACTGGAATTTTCTGTGTTTGTGACATCAACTCTTCAATAACGTCCAGTCAGATTTTCTGTCACCGGTGGCCGTGCAAAACACTGTTCTCTCTCATTTCAGTAGTCTGGCAGGGCTCATTCTTGGTTACAGCTTCCATCTTACTGAAGACTAATTAAATGCAAAGTAATTAAATTATTGCATGAGAGAATCCTTCTGAGTAGTTTTAGATTTGACAAGATCACGTGTAATTGTGAGTAAAACTACCAGCGCTAATGAAATCACTCCTAATGGCACATTGACAGACACGCTGCAGGTTTTCACTTTTAACATGTCACAGCAGGAAATGCACGGTATTGTTAATAAAAATGTGAGGATTCAAATATTCTTAGTTTATCATTTGTTCCTCTTGTTAACTGTCTATACTGCCTATGAAAAGTCCTGTTTAGTCTAATTCATGTATGCAGTGTAGTCTAGTTTAATGTTTCTGTGCTATAGATGTGATAATGGTCGTGTTAAAGTCACGTTAAGACAATCCAGGGTCACACAAGTGTATAATAATGCTAGATAACATCATTGACTCAAGTATAGACCACACAGTATACTTGCTTGTTAATACAGTATCACTTGACTGCATTTCAAATGTATGCAGATACAAAGAATGCTGCCAAATCAATACAGACACAGCATAGTACGGGGATATGGTTTTCATTTATAAGAGATGGTTTGCAATTTGCACATCAGTGCTGCACAAATTTATTAGACCACCTTTCATAAAAAAACAAGGAAAAAAAACCTATTTCAGCTGAATTCACTGGACTGAATCACATATTTATGCCCAAACATTGGCCTTCTCCGAGAAGTCCAAAATTAATAAATCATAACAGTGAACCAAGAAAACAAATTTTTCTGATCAGAAATGTAAGTAAATAAATGCAATTTGGCATTTTAATAAAAAAAAAAAAAAGAGGTAATGTACAGTTTTTTACTGCTTTTCATCATTAAAATTAGCAAAAAAAAAAAAAGGTCATTTAGAACCTCTGGACAGATCTTCCACTGACACAAGCAGATCATTTTTTCACTGTTCTCTTTCTTTCTCCGCACAAAATGATCACTTGAGAACATACTTTCTGTGTTTCACTATCACACACTTAAACCACACTCATGAGCTAAAACATGACGAATATCCTCAATGCTTCTAAAACAGCTCAAACCTCAGGGCCATGGACGCTGCATACTTAACCTGCGATAGCACAACATCATTAAAGTTGTGCGCTGGAGCAGATCACTGTTTCACTTGCACGTCTCCGCCAACACTGGGGTGCTTGTCTATAGTTTGCCCCCCACGCCCCCAAACTATTTTATCCAGGTACCCACCGCTGTGACTAGGTGTTGCTCTCAAACCTTGCCATTTTGAATATGCTCTGCCCCATTTGTCTGACAATAACCATTACCATAAGCATTTCACCAGCATCAAACACAGTGACTCAAAGCCTGTTCATTTGAATCTCAGATCTTGAAAATGCACTGTTTTTATGAGATAATTTCACTTGTGATTGTTCATAATGTTTTGGCTCATCAGTACACTGTGGGGAAAAAAAGAAGAAAAAACAGAAAACAGAAAATGTTTTGGTAATTTTCTTCCAGCACATTACCCGTTTTTTAACAGCAAATTTCTGTAAATGGTAAAAAAACAACAACGTGTGGTTTAAAAACATAAGTAAAAAAAAATAATATGGAAAATTCCTTCATTTTAAAACAGCACATTTTACTGTATCTTTGCAGATTATTTTT